TTATTTTTGAATTGTTCCCAAAATATTTTGAAACCCTACTTTGCAAGTCCATAATCAATTCCAAAATAATTGAACACACCGTAGAGAGAAGAGATTTAATGAATTCAGCTACCAAAAATGCTAATGAGTTGTTAGATGAATACAAAATCACCTTCAACAAACTAAGACAATCAATTATTACCCAAGAAATCTCTGAAATTGTTGCAGCTGTACAAATTAAAAAATAAGCTTATTTAACTTCAAACTCTATATTTAAATCAGCAAACTTTTTATCTATATATTCTTTTAAATATTGGAAGCTCTCCATTAATAAATAAATCTCTAAATCAATTTTCTTTAGCCATTTTTATAACTTCTTGTTTTGCTTCTTCTATCTTTGTTTTTATATTTTCTGTATATTTTCATTTTTGAATTTTCCTCATATTCATCTTCATCAACAATTTTGAAAAATTCTTGCTATTGATTTTTATATCTAAATCAAAGTCAAAATATTTAATTGCATTTTCTTCAATCAAACAAGGAGAAGCGAGATTGACATAATAATTAATTTCACCATCTTTCAAAATAACCATGATATTGAATCATTTATGTTTAAAAAACAATCACAGCATTGGTCAACTGTTCTTTAGAAAAAAAACTTTTTTAAATTATCTTTTCAAAAAAAGACTCTTTTAGCTTTAATAATTTTTATCTTCTCTTTAGGCATGTACATACAAATAACAGTGCTGTTTTCATATAAGACATAAGGATATTCAACAGTTCGATAGAGTCAACCGTTGTACTTATATGCGTGCACCATATATTGTTTGTTTTTGTTGAATCTATTCATAATATGGGGCGACTAGAGGGATTCGAACCCTCGGATGCCTGGACCACAATCAGGTGTGTTAACCCACTTCACCATAATCGCCATATTTCTAAAGATCCATTTTAAGTGAAGATCTTTAAAGGGCTATTTTAAAAAATTAAGCTTAAATCTATTATATTTTTAGTCTTTATTAAACTGAAAAAGAATTTTTAGATTTTGCGTTTATAAAATAAAAGAGTTTAAATTAAACAATATCTTATAACATGCAGAACAACGAAACACCTGACTCTTTAGACAGTATATCAACTCAAGAATCTTTGGAATTAACAAATGAAAAGTAGAGGAAAAGAACAAAGAAGATGATAAAAGATATAAAAGAAGAAGTAGAGGAATATAAGGTGAAAGAAGATATAGTTGCTAACAATAATCTTGGTTATATATATCAAATTAGTGGTCAGTTGTTGACATTAAATTTGATAAAGATAATCAACCCTTTATTCATGAAAAATTGGTTGTTAAGGTTGATAAAGAAGAAATTGTTTTTGGAAGTTGCTCAATTAATTGGTGATGGTGTTGTTAGAACAATTGCTATTTCTCAAACTATTGGTCTTTCGTGGTGTTTCTGTTTATAGAACTCATGACTGTATTACTGTCCCTGTTGGAGAAGGTATTTTTAGGAAGAATGTTTAATGTTTTAGGTGAACCGATTGATAATTTAGAGATTGATAAAACATTACCAAGAAAATCTATTCATGCTGTTCCTCCGGCTTTATCTTCTCAATCAAGCAGCGTTACTCTATTAGAGACGGAATAAAATCATTGACTTATTAATTCCATATGCAAAAGGAAGCAAAATTGGTTTGTTTGGTGGTGCTGGAGTTGGTAAAACTGTTGTTGTTCAAGAGTTGATTCATAATGTTGCCTTAGGTCATGGTGGTACATCAATCTTTGTAGGTGTTGGTGAACGTTCAAGAGAGGGTAATGATCTTTATTTTGAAATGAAACATAGTGGTGTTTTACCAAATACTGTATTGTTGTTTGGTCAAATGAATGAAACTCCTGGTGCAAGAATGAGAGTTGCCTTTAAGTGGTTTGACTATGGCTGAACACTTTGAGATGTAAATTCACAGGACGTATTGTTATTTATTGATAATATTTTCCGTTTTCACAAGCTGGTTCAGAAGTTTCAGCTCTTTTAGGTAGAACACCTTCAGCTGTGGGTTACCAACCAACATTAGCATACGAGATGGGTAGGTTGCAAGAAAGAATTACTTCTACAAAGTCTGGTTCTATTACATCTATTCAAGCTGTATATGTTCCTGCTGATGATATTACTGATCCTGCTCCATAACTACCTTTGCCCACTTAGATGCGAAAGTTGTTTTAGACAGAAAAATTGCTTCTTTAGGTATTTATCCTGCCATATCTCCTCTTCAATCATCTTCTAACTTATTGAATCCTGATTATGTTGGTCAAGAACATTATGATGTAGCAAATAAAGTTGTTGAGATCCTGCAAAAATATGAAGAACTACAAGATATTATTTCTATTTTGGGTATTGAAGAATTAAGTGAAGGAGATAAAAAAGTTGTTTTTAGAGCTCGAAAACTTAGAAACTTCTTTTCTCAACCATTTTCAGTTGCAGAAAAATTCACTAATTTAGCTGGGAAATATTTAAAAATTGGAAGAAACTGTTAAATCATTTAAAGAAATTGTTGATGGAAATGTTGATGATTTGCCAGAAGATGCTTTTTTATGTTGGTAACATTGAAGAAGCACGAAATAAAGCAGCAGAGTTAGCAGCAAAAATTAAAAAATAAATAATTTTTTAATGTTTAATTTCTTTGATCCGGGCAAAATAATAAAAAATATTATTTTGACTATTTTGTAAACCTGCACAACAAATCTAATTCATCTTCAATCATTCTTAATGAACGTATTGAAAATCTAAGATCACACATTACAACAGCTTTTTCATTAAATCAAGATTTTTTTATTTCTTTTTCAACCAAACAATGCATATATTGAGCTTTTAATTTTTAATTATTTAAATATCAAGAATACACAATTTACACTGATGAGCCAAACAAAAAATGTTTTGAAAATGCACAAAATGTTGTAAATTTATTGATTTTTCTGAACTTGAAAAGATAAACAACATTTCTATTGAATCTAAATCTTTTGTTTGAATCAACAATGTGCAAAACATCAACAATATTGATGGTTTTAATAAAAATTAAAACCAATAATAAAGAATGCTTGTTATTTGCTAATTTAGACACTTGTTTATATACAAATAAACAAAAATTAATAGATATTATGGATTTTTTTAGCTTTAATCCTTCATATTCTTTGGATGTAAACGGAATTTCTTTTTTGGATTTAAAAAATATATCAAATTAAACCTGTTTATTTAGGCAGCAATTCAATAAAGACGATATCTGATAAAGCATATGAGTTGTCTGATCTCCCCATCTATAGAAATAGGAACGCTTAATTATCAGCTTTACTTGTTTTAGAAAGATATTTTTATTATCTTGCTCATAAAAAACAAGATGTATTGTTTGTTTTGGAAGATTTAAAAAAAAAATGATTTTTTTAGAGATGATATTTTGAACAAAAATTACTTAATTACTTTAACAATAAAGCGATTTAAGTTGCTTTTTTGGCTTCAGAAATAACTTTTTTGATTTTTGCAATTGTTTTAGTTGTAAAATTCTTTTTTAATTTGTGAGTGTAAAGAAAAAATATTATTAAAGATCAGTGGCGGCCAATTAAAAAACTTTAATGATAAACACAATCTTTAATGAGCGTGTTATTAAACATTTAATTTCTCAAATTTTTGAACTTTCTAAAAATTACAAAATAGGAATTGTTGTTGGTGGCGGAAATATTTGAAGATGCAAAAACAGCAACTTATCTGAATTAGATAATTTAAGTGCTGATTATATTGGTATGTTGGCAACAGTATTGAATGGAATTGCTTTAAAGGTATGTTAAAAAATGCAGGACTTAAAGCAAGGTTGTTTTCAGCTTTAAATTGTTCAAAGGTAAGTAATGAAATTAATCAAGATGATATTGAAGATGCGTTGGCAAAGACGAAGTTCTTATTTTTAGTGGAGGAACTGGATCACCAACAGTTACAACAGATACAGCTTCTGTAATTAGATCAATTGAAATTGGAGCTGATTTTCTTTTTAATTGGTAAAGATGGTGTAAAGGGTGTTTATGATAAAGATCCAAAAACACATAAAGATGCAAAGTTCTTGCCTAACCTTACATATAAACAAATTATTGAAAAACAACTTGATATTTTTGATAATGCTGCATTAACAATAGCTAAAGAACAAAAATCTAAAAATCTTAATCTTTAATCAAACTGTAGATAATGCATTTGTAAAAGCCATTAACAGAGAAATAGAACTTACTGAAATAATCAATAATTAAAAATCTAAATAAGAAAATTATTTATTAAAAATAAAATACTACTACTTGTATGGAAAATAATTTCAAAATTTATAGTGATTTGTTTCAAGCAAAACTGAGGAAATAATAGATAGACTTAAAGAACAATTAAAAAAGATTTGTACTAATAGATTACATCCAGACTTAATTTCAAATATAAAAGTTCTTGCTTATGAAGAAGAAACTCCATTAAAAAGCATAGCCAACATACAACTAACAACAGCTAGGTCATTTTCAATCAAAAGTTATGACCCTTCTTTAAATGCTGAAATTGAAAAAGCCATAAGAAAATTTAATGATGAATTCAATCCCATACTACGCAAATGACATTGTTACTCTTTCTTTTCCTTCCCCCAACAGAAGACAGCAGAAAAAATCAGTTAAAGATGTAAAAAGGCGATGATTGAACAATCAAAAATCAGCTTAAGAAATTTAAGAAAACAAGTAATAGAAAAAATAAAGAAAGATGAATTACCTGAAGATTCAGAAAAAAATTTATTAGTCAATTGGACCAAGAAATAAAACTAATAACATCAAAATTAGACAAGATATTTAAAGAAAAAGAAGCTGAATTAATCAGCATTTAAAAAATGAATTCATTGTTTTATGATTCAAAATTTCAGAATAGGTTTAAGTATTCAATAATTTTGTTATTTATTTTATTGCCTTTATTGCAATAAATTTAGTATCTAACCAATTTGATTATGACTATGGTTTTTCTTGATTTTTTCAAAAAGTATTGTTAGCAATAAATTAATCTTTTATTACCGTTTATATACATCAGTTATAAAGAAATTGCTTTTCTCTTAAAAAAAAAAAAACATATATTTTCAATTTTTTAGCAATTTCTTAATAACAATAGGTCCCTGATTTTTTTATTTTGAAAGTTTAAATATCAGATTTGGAGTATCAGAAAGAATGTTTTTCTTTTATATCTGTTTATTTATCATTTTTGGATTCTTAATTTTGTTTAGATGCACAAACATTTTTAAAAAACAATTTTGTTACCATTGACAAAAAAACAAAGATAGTTATTACAAAATGATGATTTTTGTTTTTTGTATTCTGAAATTGTTTGTTATTTGTTTCAACAATAAACAATACCTTTATTTTTATTCTTACCCTATTAATTGCAGTATCAAATGATTCTTTTGCCTATGTGCTAGGTAAAAAATATGGAAAAAGCAAGTTTTTAAAATACAGCCCTAATAAAACCTCGAGGGTTATATTCTGGGAATAATTGCATCTATATTGTTTTTATTTTTAATTTGAATGTTGTCTAATCCAGAAAAATTCATGAATTACCAATTAGGAGTTACCATAAAACATTGTTGTTACCTGTGTTTTTTATATTGTCTTTGTTGTCACATTTTGGTGATGCTTATTTCAGCTCAATAAAAAGACAGTTAAAAATAAAGGATTTCGGAATATTGTTGGTATACAAGGAGGTTTTTGAGATAGATTTGACTCGCATACTTTTGTTTTATTTGGAGTCTTCTTGATAAACATAACCATAATATTTATTTAACTTTTGAACAAATTAAAAACACTATTTGTAGAAAAATTAGTTATTTTTACTGAAGAAGAATTTGAGCTATTACAAAAGCTGAAATAAATTATCAGATTAATAAATTCCA